CCAGTGGCCCTTCCTTTACATCTCAACTGGAATCTGCTCACCTCTACCCCCTTCAAAGAGCCCTATTCCTTCCTTTCCTTTCTTTCTTTCTTTTTTTTTTTTCTGTTTCCCTATTTTGGCTTTTGTATGTGTGTGGGTGAGCATGCAGGGTACTGGGATTTGAACACATCCCCAGCTGATTTTGGCGGGGGGGGGGGGGAGCCAGGAATTGAACTCAGGATCTTGTGCTTGTTAGGCAAATGCTATACCTCTGAGTTGTATCTCCGGTCCCCCCAGCCCTGTCAAGAGGCAGGATCTGGCTAAAATGACCACGCTGGACTTGAACTTGCGGTTCTCTAGCTTCAGCCCCGGGTTTGCTGGAATCATAGGTATACACCATGACACATGGACCAGCTTCTTAAATAATGACCTGTGGCCTCCCTGCCACCATTGGTGCTTCTTCCTTCTCTAAACCTGGCCTCCAGCCCTAACACTAATGAAACTCATTTCTCTGAGCACATCTATAACCATTTTTTTGTGGCCAAGATCCAAGAGACTTTCCTAGTCCTTGTTTCCATGGCTCCACCACTGTTTTACTCTGAGAATCTTTTCTTTGCTTCCCAAAATAGCTAGCTTTCCTCCTACCTCTACAACTGTTCATGCTCTTTTTTCCCCCAAAGTCTTTTTCTATGCTCCTGCAAAGGGCCTGCCTTCCCCCACTCCTCCTGTGGTCTTTTGAGGGTCACTGTCCTGCCTTCACCTCTACATTGACAATTCTCACCTCTATCTCCAGCCCTCCTTCTGGGTGACTTTGTAAGTCCTATAAACTATCTGGCTTCAGTTTCCTCATTTCCAAATTGAATATGTTGAATCTAATTTATTATTCTTGACTCTAAGAAAATGATAAAAAAAAATTAACACTTTTAACATACTCTACCCGAGCAGAGTGGGCTACATGGGGCTCAGTGCAAAATGAAAATATAGCGCTCCTTGGTCCAAAATTAAGATTTTAATGATGCCAACAGCAGAGCACTAAACCAAATGAGGGCCCATCACTTTCTGGGCATGGGGCCCCAAAGGACTGCACAGTGTGGAAGACCATGAAGCCAGCCGGTGTGCCAGCACCATTCTAAGCTCTGACATGTGTTAACTTATTAGGTGCCCATAATTAACCTTCTAAGGTAGCCACTGATGAGGAAGTAAGGCAGAAAGAGATTAAGTAACTCCCCAAGATCACATGGTCTTTAATTGGTGGAGCTGGAAAGAAAAGTAACAGCTACCTGTCAGGGTTATGAGAGACGTTCCCAGGGGAACCTTTACCCCTGCCACGCCCCCTTCCTCTTTAGTGACTTTGTCTTTGCCATTTCTGCTTCCTGATATGGCTCTTCCTCCCTTTCCTGTGCTTGCTCAGGTCTACGCTTTCATCACAGGTCTGTGCCCCTTCTGCCCTTCCTAAGGGACACCAGGAACAGTGGATTCGGGCCACAGCTCCTTCTCCTCTCCAGAGTCTCTGGCTGCCCTAGGTGGAGGCAGCCCTGCTCCAGGGGGTTATTTACAGCTTGATGAGCAATCAGATGTCATTGCCTGCTTTCTAGAGGCTCAGTGATGATCTATTCCACAAGACCAGAGGGGAAACTTCTTTAAATCTCCCTCCAAAACCTGCAATAGCTTGCAGTCAAGACTGGAGGAGTCTTGGGGGCAGATAACACACCCAAGTCTTCACTGTGTTCTTCATTGCCTGATCCTTATTAATTCTCCTAAAAGAGCTCTATCCAGGCTTAGCAACTTTCCTTGGCCTCATCCTTCCTCCTCACGCACTCTTGGAGTAGCTCAGAGATGCTGTCCTCCTCCAGGGAGCCTTCCCTGACCGCCACCCCAGGCTGAGCACCGGCTCTGGGCTCCCACAGCCCCTGGGCCTCCCTATCATAACACTTGCCTTCTGCATCCTTCATCCCAACTAGGTGAGAGCATCTTGGGGAAGAGGAGCAAAACTAATTTTTACTCATTACAGTGCTAGGACATAGCAAGTTCTCAATGAGTGAGTTTGTTAGATCAAATGAATGAATAAATAAAAGTAAATACAAATAAAAGTTAATGTTACTTAATACTCTAGACTCTTAGAGCTGGGTGTAGTGATAAACACTTGTAATTTCAACATTCAGGGAGGCCAAGGCAGGAAGGTGGAAAGTTTGAGTTCCAGCTGGGCTCACCTGGTATCTTTGTTGTGGTTCTGTCAAGAGGAATCCCCTAGACCTATATGGTGGCACACAGCATAGACCTGAAACTGTAATCCCAGCACTCATGAGGCTGACGCAGGAGGATTTCTGTGAGCTTGACTAGCTCAACTGTGAGCTAACAAGATCCTATCTCAAAATAAAAATAAATATAGGACTGGGGATGATGCTGAGTGGGAAAATGCCCTTGGGTTCAATTTCCCAGTACTGGGATGGGGTAGATGTTGGGGAGTCTAGGCTTTTTTGTATGCTCCTCAGCACAAAGGTGATCACACAATGAGTCTGTCTGTATACTTACACAATGTGTGAAAACCAACAATGACAGCTTCTAAATCTCTGTTGGAGAAGGGGCAGCAAGGGATTCCTCTTTTTTTTTTTTTTTTTTTTTTTTTGTCTTCTTGAGACAAGGTCTCACTATGCAGTTCAGGCTGGCCTACAACTCCCTTTGTAGCCCAGGCTGGCCTCGAGCTCACGGCAATCCTCCTGCCTCGGCCTCATGAGTGCTGGGATTATAGTCTCAGGTCTATGCTGTGTGCCACCACATAGCTCAAAGGGATTCCTTTTGACAGAAACATGACAAAGATGGCAGGTGTGATGCTCTGCTGGGAGCCAACTCCTAGAGGACAGGAGTCCCAGGCCAGAGACCAGCAAACGAGTGTGCTTAGTGCCTGTCTAGTTTGCCACCTGTTTGGGCACAGTGACCTGAGTGTGGTATTTATTTATTTACTCTCAGTTCTGAGGATCGAACTCAGGGCTTTGTGCATGCTAAGCATGTACTCTGCCACTGCGCTGTACTCCATTTTCCGTTTTACATTTTAAAATTATTGAAAAGGCTGGGGATTTAGCTCAGTGGCATAAGCGCCTGCCTTGCAACCCCATGGTCATGGGTTTGATCCCCAGTACTGTTAGAAAAAAAAGGTAAAATTATTGAAAAATAGTAGAAGAATAATACTTCGTGATATGTAAAAATTACAAGGATCAAATTTCAGGGTCCACAGAATTTCCTGCACAGCTACACTGTAACTCCCATAAGGATCTTCTGTGGCTGCTCCAGAGTTCCTGCAGGAGTCAGGATAAAGGTTATATACCTGTGGTGGCCCTTACAGGACAAACTTGCCTGCAGCTGCTGGCCCATCTCACCAGAATGGAAGGACGCTGCTGCCAGCTAGCCACTAGGTGTCAGCCTTTCCCCACGGTACTTCCAGAGTTTGGGCCCTGGTACTCTTTAGGGACTCTACTGCTTGGGGACAGCAGGGCAGAGTCACTAGGGGAAGGCTAAAGGAAAGTCCGGGAGGACTTGGCGTCTTAAAGAAGGGCCGCAGCTCTGGTTTAGAAAGGCCCATGGCTGGGTGAGGGGTTGGCACGCTTCTTTGGAAATACTGTTTCTTTAGCTTACATTTTATGGGGTGCTGGATATTGAACTCAAGGCCTTGTGAGCCACAGCCCCAGGCCTGGTTTAGATTTTTTTGTATTTAATTTCTATTCACAGGATTCTCCAAAGTACAGTTGTGTGTTCTGCCCAAAACTATTGGCTTTCTCCACTACTGAAACTTGCCCCAGGTAAGCAGCAATTAGCCTGTGTGCCAACTACTGACCACAAAAGTGGCAAATATTCAGCAAAGAGCAAGAGCGAATTCAGGGGAAAATGCCCCATGAACTGGCTCTTCCACAGCTCCAGAGACTCCAACTGTGCTCTTCCTTCCTGCAGGTCAGTTCCCGAGCCTCGGGCGAGGGCTCTGAGAGCCTTCCCTTTTGAAATAAGTGCAAACCAAGGTTGGCAGCATGCAGTAGCTTGGTGGGTGATTAGGGGTTCAGTGCCAGAGTCTGGATTCCACCTGTACCTGCCTGTCTAAAGCCTGTCCCCCTCTCTATCACATGTCCTGCTAAGGTCACAGTAAGTGGCGTGAGGCTATACCACCTTAAAACCAGTGCCTTCCACACTCACCATGTATCCGTGGGGCTGAACGAATAAATGCAGTTCCAAACACTGCCCTGAACTGCCTTTTCTTGTCCAGTTCCCTAAGCGTCAAGACATTTCAGGAAGAGACTCGAGCCAGGGAGTCAGAGCTGCCAGCAGGAAATGAGAACCACAGGCGCACTCATTGGCACACGATGGGCTCTTTCCCCTTGGGGCCGTGGGCGCCGTGGGCAGGCACACTGCCTGTTCTCGCCTTTTGCTCCTCTCATCCTCCTGTAGGCTCCCACGCACTTGCTGGCTTCCGAGACAGGTTCTAGCTGGTCTCCTTCTATGATGCGGACATCTGTTCCTGAAATTGCTTGTTAGTTGTTGTAGACACTGTCCTAACTTCTAACCATTTTCCTGGATGAGCACTTGTTTCCAGCTGGCTCCCTGGGAGAAGCCACAGGGCCCAGTGAAAATGAGCTAGGATGTCCTCTAGATAACTGGATTTTCAGTCTTTTCCGTTCTTGTTGTAGGGTGGCTTTGGGCAAATCTCCTTCTCAAGGTCCCTTTCCTCCTCCTATTTCCTCCTCTTCCTGTAGCTTTTTTGAAGGAATGCATGGAGCAAGGGCTATTCCAAGCACACAGCTGCCTGGAGCTCAGGTTCCACTAGGCTGGAGGCCTGGGAGATGAAGCTTGTCCATTTAGGATGTGTAACAGAAGAAGCCACCCCAGAGGACAGGATTAGCTCAGGACAGACTTTTGATAAGCTTAGCCTTTAAGACATGAAATAGCAGACAATAGGATCCCTTTTGACTTCCATGTAAGTCTTAGAAGTCAGAAACAAAGCTGAAAGAATCATGAGTAATTCTGGAATCTGACACCTCCTCAATTTATTAGCTTTATTTCTCTGACCCAAGTGGCTGTCAAGTCTTCCATCATTTAACAAATAGGTATTAAGCAACTACTGTGGCTGCAACAATGAGCCAGGCAGATAAGATCCCTGTGCTCAGACAGCCTGGTCTCTGGGCTCCTGAGCCCAAAGGAAGAGTGGGTATCTGACTTCAGGCTGCAGCTCATGGGGTCCACAAGCAGGGCCTTCCTTGTTCCATAGTAGGAGTGTATGGAAGTTCAGGCCCAACTCTGCAAGGCCTTTGGGCCGATCTTGTAATTGCTGAGCCTAAGAACCTTCTCATATTTGTTTCTGTCCTCTGTACCTGTCTCACCTGACTTTCTTCCAGACTTAAGCCTGGGCTGGCTGTCCTGCAGCAGATCTCCTGCTTCTGGAATGGAAATAGGGATGATCAGTGACAGTGCCTGGATCATTTGAGTGGGAGGGCATGCGTGTGGCCCATGGCCAGCTGATAAATGTGTTCTGTGATCCACGGCTCATGGCAGGGCTAAGTAGCTGCTGAGGGGACCTTGATGTTTGCTCACAGTATGATCGTGACAGCCAGCTGGCAAGTCCCACTGGCCTGACTTGAGTAGAGGTTTCTTGCTGTCAGTCCTGGCTGTTTGGGAGGGGGCTGCTGTCAAACACACACACACAGGCTCATCCCATGGTGCCTTCTGTGTGGGAGGTAGCTGGGGCTAAGGGAAGGAGAACAGATTGGGAGAAAACCTGACAGGGAGAAGAGTGGAATCAGGCAGATGTGTGCACATAAACACACCTGTTCTGGGGAGAACAAGGTAGCAAAGAGCTAAGCAAGGTAACTAGGACAAAGGTGGAAGATGCCTTTATCACCACTGTTCCGGAAACAAAAATCTCAAGCAAGTCAGCCAGCCTCCCTAGGCCACAGCCTCTGTCACATGCGCAGGGTAGACAGAGCAGGTGCAAACACTCTCAAGAGCCATCTGTGTGGCTCCCAGGGCTGCAGAGTAGAGAATAGGGGCCCTAAATGGAGGGTGTTTTATGTCCAGATCTAGGGGCACATCTGATCATGCTTGGAGATATTCTGCTTGTCTCAGCTGGAGGGATACTGCTGACATGCAGTAGGCAGAGGCTGAGCAATACCCTGCAGGGAACACCACTGCCTCTCCCCCAAAAGAGAATTTTTGCAACTCTGTTGTGTCACTAGTGCTGCAAGCCTGAGCTCAGATAGGGCATGTGGAAGAGCTACATCTGAAAAATGGAGATAACATTTCCTGTGAACCAAACCCTCAATACATGGGGAAACAGTTGCCTTCCTGTGTTCATAGTTTGAAATCTGCACATGACTAAAGCATCTAGCAGAGTCACTGGCTATATAGTAGGTGCTCAATAAATGAGGGGGAAAATCTGCATGCCAGGAGAAAACAGAGTCCCATCCCCTTCTCTGGTCAGCTCCCTCCACATCTCCAGGTTTCCTCTGTTGTCTATAAAGTTCTGTTGAGGCGTACGGTAATAAGCTGGGCAGAGGCTGTCTTAGAAGGAATTGGGTAGGGCTGACCATAATCATACCCTGAGAATAGCTGATACAAGGCAGTTTTGCCAAACCTCGAGCTCCCCAGCCCCGGACAAGCGTCCTGCACGTCCTGCCTAGATGGGCAGAGGCCAGGTAAGAAGCAATGAGAGAGAACTCAGCTCACTGAGGGTGGCCTCAGGAAGAAGGTGACAGCCCAAGGGACAGGGCTGGGAACACAGAGCCAGAGCTGGTCCTGCGAGTGTCCTTTCATCCTGCCTCTCCAGAGCCCTTCCAAGGCTGCCAGCCTGTGGACACTGTGACTGAGGGCTCCCTCCTGCCCTGAACTTGCCACCCAGGTGGAAAGGCCAGATTTACCCTCGAGATGTGACCAGCAAATGCTGGAACACAGGGCGGAAGTATATGAGACAGAAGCCAAGGTGCAGAACAGTGGACTGGAGTTTAAGCTGCCAAGGAAAAGTTCAGAGCTGCATGTTAGAATGAGGCCCTCGGCAATCTTTGCATTGTGGTCTCTTTCGCAAGGATTTCAGAGCTGGAGGGGGCAGAGACCAGCCTCTTTGAGGATGAAGCAGCAGCTGCAGAGGAAAGGTGCCCTCCCTGTAAGCCAGCACTCTGCCCAACCTGAGTTGGTTTCTCTTTGGTGTGGTTTCCTCTTTATTGCTACAGAAATTGAGAATAACCTCATCTTGGTTCACAGAGAACTGAGGCAGAAAGCAGGGCCTAGCTTAAAGGTGCAGTGACTGGAAACTTCCACTGGGGTCCTCCTAGATTTGGGGGCTGGACTTGGTTGTGGGGAGAGAGGGATATAGAAGGCCAGGTTCTGTCCCTTGGGAGTACGAGGCCTCAGCAGAACGGCCTCTTTCCAAGGCCAACGTGTCAACCTCTACTCCAAGGGTGATTTCTTTACTATAATTCAGGGACCTTGTGTCCCATATCTTCAGGGTGCTACTGGGGGCTGTGGTGTAACAGTCCACCTCCCATGTCACCCCTCCCACCCTTCCTTTCTTGAACAAGGACTCGCCATGCCATCTTGGTATGTAAAGAAGTGTTTTCCGGAAGTGTTTAATCCTCAAGAAGCCTCAGGGAGGTGTGTCAGGGGAGACACTCTTGTCCTTGACACCCAGCAGCCCCCCCATTCCTACCTTGTCTCCTTTCATTAGGCTACAAACTCAAGGTCTTACTGAGGGGATGTGCAGGCCAGAGAAGGGCACCCTAAGAATCTCATAGAGGCTTGCAAACTGGCAATGTCAAATCCTTCCCCCATTCCATTCAGTCTGGCACAAGAACCTGTGTGGACTGGGCCAGGTAGGTCACAGCAGCTGGTGCCCTGGCAGTCCTGAGGCAGCTTCCACTTTGAGTCCTGTGGCTGGAGTGAAACTAGAAGTTGGGATCCCTGGCTTCAGGGTCCCTCCCTTTACCTCTTTCCACCCTCTCGGGGGGATGAGAAGAGAGCAGGAAGCCCAGGAAAGAGGAGGCCACATGGCTGGGGCTGCCCTGCAGACCTCATTGCACTAAGGAATAAGTCATGGTGGCCTTTGTCCCACCTGGGGACCTGCAGCTCTGGGGCTGACCCAGCAGGAGAGAGTTAGCATAAAGGAGAGGACATTAGTCAAGCTTCTGCATCGTGTAAACAAGGTGGCAGTGACATCTGCCTGGTCTTTGGCAGTCTAGGGAAGCACGCGATGGTTTTGAGATGCCCCAGCCTCTCGTCTGGGGTTCGGGCCCCGAGGCTGGTTGGTGTCCAATGTGCAAACTATTGCAGAGTGAGTCCTGGGCTCTTCACAGTGCAGGACAGGACAGGTGGCCATCTACAGGTTCCTGTGGCTCAGGAGATTACACAGTTGCTGGACTTGCCAGGACTGGGACTTGTTTTACCTGCAGAGACGAGGAAGACAGGCAGGGAAGGACATTAATGAAATGCTCAGTGGATCTGCCTCTGGCCCATATACTGGACACTGTCCATGCCTCAACTTTGGGGGCGAGGGTTACTGGTTCTCTTCCAAGCTTCTGATCTGGAAATCAACTCAGCAGGACACCTAGGAAAGCAAAAGGAAAACTTCTTCCTGCCTCGACAGTCTTAGCAGGATCATCACAGTTTGGGACACTAAGTGGCCTGTTGTCTCCTGACCAAAGGTGGCAAAGGGACTCTGGAGACAACAACTACAACGAATGACTTAGAAGTCATGTCAAGACTGTTATTTCCAGTAGTTACGATCTTAAGCAACTCCGAGCTTTCCAGCTACCCATCCTCACTGGTGGCTACACTGTGAGCCAGGATCTTTTGTTTTGTTCTACAGCAGCGGCCATGGGCCATGATCCCATAGCCCATCCCAGAGTCTGGCTTCCAGTCCTGTCTTAGCTCCTCTGCTACAGGAGCTGGGTTGGAAGGGACAAAGCTACACCTTGAGTAGGGCCAGCAACACCCACTGAGGGGCAGCTCTAGGCAGAGGATGGGAAGTGGACAGTGTAGGCTGCTGCTCCAGCCATAGTGGCTCATTTTTCCATTTCCCTGGGCCTTGGCATCGATTTGCACTTCTTTTACGATCTAAGATATGGCCTGCAGTTTCTGGGGCAGATTCCTGCTCTCTGACCTACGTGGGGTGGGGTGGGGTGGGTAGGTGGTGGGTGGAACAGAAGCTGTGAGGCAGACCTGACACCTTGGGGCCCTTGCAGCCTCAGGCTGTTGGAGGCACAGTCCTTGTCCTCAGAGCTCGGGCCACCTCTCCAGGTGGAGGCCCCTGGTGTTATTTCCTGTGGGCTCCTCCCTATACTGCAAGGGCGGTCTCCCTGGCACTCACACTATCTTCCAATGTCACTTCAGCTGTGAATTTAATTAAGGCAGTGTCTGCCTTCTCTTCTGGGCTGTTAGCAAGAGAGACACAGAACAGAGCTGGACGGGAGTCTTGGTTTCACAGCCTTCCCCCCTCCACTCCATGCTTCCTGCAAGGCCCCTGCTCAGGCCCACAGCCTGTGCTGTGTTCACCACTGCTTGTCCAGGCCAGACTGAACTCACTCTGGGAACTACTGCAATCCCAGCTGAGCCCCTGCTTGGTGTCTCCCAGACTCAGGCAGGCAGCTGCCGAGGGTGAGGAGGGCAGAAGGTGGGTCGCCCTCAGCAGCAGTGCTGAGGACTGAGCCTGGTGTGGTTCTTCTGAAGTCATTGCCTTCTGCTGCCCTAGAGCCCCTCACTGCTGCAGTGCACACATTGTCCCCACTTGGCACTCCTCAGTGGCTCGCTCTATTTGCTTGGCCTACTGAGCAGATGCTGAGTTCCTCCCCAGAGGCTGCAGCGCTTTGGAGGCAGGTAAGCAAAATCAATCTCTGGCTGCAGAAGCAGGGGCAGGGTTGTAGCTCTCGGGGCCAGGGAACAGGGATGCTGGGTGGATGGAGTTGTAGCTCCAGCTTGGGTACACTCTGCTCCTTCCTGGAGATGGTTTTGTTCAGGTGGGTCTGCCCCCTTGATTCATCAGGCTGGATGCAAGCCTGAAGAGATCCCTTATCCTTAGAATTCATTCCCATGCTTCTGATGGAGAAACTGGTTGGAGGGAAAATTCTTCATGTTCCATTGTTTCATCAATGCTCATTTACTGGGAGTCTGCCATGGGCAGGCAAATCAGACCAGTTCAGATAAGTGGGGGAAAAGTATATTAACACTACCTCCATTCCTTAAAATTTTAAAAACCTGTATTTTGCAAACTATGTGTGCCAAGGGTGAGGGTGGCCTGTTAGAAGGCTCATGAGAGAATGTCAAGTTCAGAGGGGAGACGACACTGAAATGAGACTGCACATATGGTTGCAGAGTGGGAGCACAAAGCCACTGAATGCAGAGAGTGGTGTGACACCAGGGTTGGGGTGGGACAGTCCAGGGCATTTGTAACTGAGCTGGGAAGCAAGGTGATACAGGAGACAGGAAGGAAAAGGACATTAAAATGGACATTTATACAAGAACAGCAGGGCCCTCTCTTCCTACAGCCCTCAGGGCTTCACATTCCCTTTGTTTGAAAGATCTTTTCCCTGATATCTACACTGGCTCTGTCCCTCTAGGAGTCTCTATTGCCTTGTGCTTGGTCAGAGAGGCCTTCCCTGTGCACCTTTTATAAAATGGTTCTTCCTTTCCTGTGTCCCCAATGCTCCCCAGTATAACAAGAGGGGAACTTTATTTCTTCTGTTCCCTGATGCACAGGAACTTAGAACAGTGCCTGGCATGGAGCACACACTTCACAGACATAAATTTATTGGGTAAAATGAATGATTAGGCAACTATAGGCTACGTGGGGTTTATACCAATACTAACAACTGCAGGAACAACAGCAGCATGTCCCCTGTGTGTCCCCACTCACCTGTCCAGGAGATGTAAGCCCTGGTCAGGCCAAGAGAAACTAGAAAGACAGGAGTCTGACAGCCAGCAAGAATAAGCAGCCCTGCCTCTCCTCTGGAGCTGGGTAGGTTGGTGGCCTGGAGGATGCTGTCTCATCAGAACCCCACTGGTAATGGTGTTCAGAATCACTGCATTGGACTGCAGCTCCCGTGTACCAGCTGAGGCCTGACCCAGCTACCTGGGGCAAAGCTGAGATCTGAAACTCTGCCTTGATGAGCAGCACTTGAGAAGATGTGCCCTGGAATGGGGGTTCTGATTCCAGCAAGAACTGCCCCAGCAATCTCACAGTCCATCTTTGACAGGGACCCAGATTTCCAAGAGTGACACCTGAGACCTTGAGCATCCTCTACTCCCTGGATAACACAGGAGAGTGAGAAGTCCCTGAATCTGGAAACCAGGAGCTGGAGTTCTATGAAGCCAGATCCTACAGCCAGCAGAGTGGGCCCCACACAAAACTGGGGGATCCAGGAGCCTTCCGGAAAGGCATGGCTAACGCAGGTCACCTTGGAAACCACCTGGGAAACAAGTTCTCACCTTTATTCCCTCTCAGCTGGCAGAATGCCAGAAGGAAGGGTCCAACTGACACTCAGGACTCTGGCCCTTCCAGTCTTCGAAATACAGGGTGACAGTGCCAGCCCTTGCCTCTGGCAACAGCCACAGTTGCTTCGTGGGAGGCCTGCACATAGGCTCCTCTCACTGAAGCTTTTTTGGAAGGGTCAGGCAGGATATTTTCAGAGAGAAACCTTTCACACCTCATCTCTCTTAACTTTCTTAAAAATGTTGGCCATTTCCCAGAGACCCCAGGGTGTGGAGGTGGGGTTTGAGGCATAGCCCCTAGAAACTCCTCCCCTAGCCTGGTGGCTTGCTGAGCGCAGAGCCTCGCCTGAGTAGCCTCTGTGTGGCAACGTTATCTGCCGGTCTGAGGACACTCTATATTGGAGAACTGCATGGAAAAATCTTGTCATAGTCTTCAGCCCAGTGCAAATGACAGACTCCTTTTTGTGACGGTGGGGATCAAACCAGGAACACTGTTATCACTGATCTTCATCTATAGCCCCTTCTATTTTTGAGACAGGATCTCACTAAGTTGCCCAAGTGGGACCTCAAACTTGAGATCCTCCTGCCTCTGCCTCCCTCAGTGCTGGAATTACAGACACACACCATCATGCCTAGCCTATTCATGGTATTTGTATAACAAGACCACCTCCTGACCGCTCTCCTTGAAGGTGGGATCTCTGCGCTAGACAGCCTGTCCTAAGCTCCTGGGTGGGAGCAGGTGGCAGGCTAGAAGGAAGGTTTAAGGTGGCCCAGCCCAGGAGCAAGGTCTAGCAGAGTGAAAAGTCAAAAGCAAAAGATGTCCAGCTTCCACCACTAGAGGGAGCTTCAAGCCTTCAAACCGTAGGACTGTCCCCTCCCACCTCTCAGCTCCAAAGGAAGCGATTTCTGGGAGGTTCTCCCCAGGGCCACACCTGGGTTTGCAAAAATTTGCATACTGTTTGACAACTCTATACTTTTTATCAAGCAATTTCACAGACTGTCAGCTCTTGGCTTTTTCTATCTGTCTCTCTTTCACCAACCCTGTCATCAACCCACATCCTCCCTTGACAAGAAAGCGCAGAGGTAGGACAAAGTGAGAATCTACTCAAAGGGACTTTGGAAACCCTCCCTAGGCTTACCCTGTCCCCTTCTAAAAGAAGAGACAGCCAGAGGGAGGGGAGTGACATTTCCCAGGTGCAAGGGCAGTTTGTCATAAGCCGGGGAAGTAGGGTGGTGGTGGTGGTGGGTGGTTTGTCCTGATGACATTCTAAGTGCTGGGGGGGGGGGCTACTGTCCTTGGATGGGGTGACAGCTCCAGGTGGTCTAGGATTCCTGCTTCCCTGTGGGGCCCTGCTGTTGGAAGCCTGAGCCTTTCACCCATGCAAAGAGCACTGTGGCACCCAGTGTTGGGAAGTCCGAGGTGACAAAGAATGAGCTCCTATGTCTCATCCCTGCCTTTGGGGAAGAGGGAAGCAGAGAAGTGAGGAACCCAAATTTCAGGGGCTCTGGAACTGAATGTGCATGCGGGCAGGCAGAGGCTGTGCTGGAAGAAACGGCCTTCCTGACTGCGTGTGCCAGCCACTCCTGCAGTGCACTCCTGGCTCCGCCCAGGTGCAGGTGCTCTGAGAAGGGCCTCCTGAGGGCATCATCTGGTCTGCTTAGCTGGCTCCAGGGCACTGTGTATAAAAGCTCAAAGATGAGCAGGACTGGCACACCCACTGAAGTCACCCGAGTAGGGGAACCTGTGGCTGATACCGAAGAGGTGGCTGGAAGGGCCAAGACAATGGGCCTTGCGTTTCTATGGAAACTACCTGGAGTGAGGGGCTGAGAGAAAGCTTCCACCTCACTTCCAAGCAGGACTTGGGAATCAGCCCCTTTGTGGCTGGGTTCACCCCCTCCTCCTTCCTGCCAGGTGTTCACCATGGCAACAGCAAAAGGTGCAGAGCAGCGTCATGTGTAAGCCAGGGGACCCAGCAGGGAATGCGGACAGGGGCAAGCCACCTTCCCTTCACAGGACAGCACCTGGGCGCAGGCCTGACTTTAGATCCTGGCCTATGACCACTTCTTGTGCCCTGGGACCACTTCTTTCTCCTCTGAAAGGCTTGAAGCATGGTCATGAGGATGCGAGGAGCGAGTACCTACATGGGGCCTGCCTCTACAGCTGCTCAGGAGGGTGTGGGAAGGTCCCAGTGCTCCCACTGGGCCCATGCCTGAGATGACACCCCACCCCCACCTGCTGGGGCCTGCTGTAACCTTAACAAGCAAACATCTACAGACACAGCCTGGTAGCAGGTGCTGGGAATGAGCACAGGGGAAGTGGCTGCGTCCCAGCTTTTCAGCCACTTAGAATCAGGTCAAATTAGGGCTGTGAAGACAGCTGAGGCCTGGAGCCCTTAGGCTGCCCAGGACAAGACCTCAGGCCCTGGCTCCACTGTACCTGGCCATCGAGGGAGCTTAGTTCTCGTTGCCATAAAGCCCCACAGCCATGGAGGGGAAAATCTCAACACTGAAACCCTTTGGTCTCAGGGATACTGGGACAAGAAAGGCAGCCTGGCTATCACTACCAGCTTCCTTCCAGAGACTGCTCTGCAGAAACAGGTCAAGGCTAGGACCTCGAGGGGATCCCAGAGAGATAGCCAGGAAGACACCACCACCACTGGGCTCCTGTAGTGGCCCAGCCTGCTTGTAAAACAAACCCAGGAAACCAAGTCATACTACTGACAGCATTAACAGGAAGCTGGGTGAGGGCCTCAGTGGGGCACAGGTCCTGTCCATGGTGACCCAGCAAGGAACAAGGTTGGCTAGAACGAGCCTTGGACTCAGTCACAAGGCCCCTTTTTCTTCATATAAAGGGGAAATGCACTCCTCTTCCTTCATTTGCCTGAGAGACTCTAAAGCCAATTTGCAAGCTGTCTCTAGGTGACTGCAAGCCACCACTGCACTGAGCACTGGGAGAGGCCCACATGGCTCTGCTCTCCCAGGGACCACCAGGAAGACACAGGCCAGAGCCAGGGTGGGAGCTGAGAACCTTCTGATCCAGGAGCTCCTGCTTGCACATGCCACCAAGCTGCCTGCTGGGGACAAGAGGCAATGCCCCTCCACGAGCGCCATGCAAGGGCCAGGGGTGTCACCAGGCCCCAGGGAAGGGGCCTCACCTGAGATGTTGGCACTGGAACCCTCACTGGGCTTCTTCTCCACCAGAAAGTCCCTGTCGGTCACTGTTTCGGTGGAGAGGGAGCTGGCCATGCTGTTACACGCTGGAGGCCTCTTGGTCCGTCGGCTGAAGAACCTGCTGAAGTGCTTGCTCTCCTTGACTGCGTTGGCCTCCCCGTTGGCAGTTTCCCCCTTGCCATTTAGGGCAGAGGTCTCTTGGGCCTTCACCCTCAGGTCTGTGTGCACGTGAGAGACCATCTTGCCATCCTTCCGGCTCAGCTCTCTCAAGGGAATGGGCTCTATGGGGGGCAGCAGTTGCTCCTTTGTGACCAGGTCATTCAGGAAGCTCTCCAGGCGCCGGGCTGACTCGCCACCTTGGCTGCCCTCCTCTTGCCCCTCTGGGCTGCCACCTGGGTCCCGCTGCTCCGGGGCAGCCCGGCGCATCATCTCCCCCGGAGGGTGGCGGCTGCCAGCCACCAGAGCGTACTTGGGGTTGATCAGCTTACGGGCCACGGTGGAGGAGTAGTTGGGGGCAAGTCTGGCTGCGGCTCCTCCCAGGCCCAGCTGCTGGATCAAGTTCACCTCCTCGGAGATGGCATACAGCTCCCTGAACTCCACGTCGAAGGTCTCTACATACTGCCCTGTCAGGAGGAGCAGAAGGTTCCTATCCACGTAAGAGGAACTCCAGGTGAACCTGGAATGTGAGGACAAAAGCAACATGTGTGGCCGGCCTGCTCCCTTGCTCTGCCCACCATCTCCACCACCGCAGCCAGACTGCCTGCTGATGGACGGAAAGCCTGTACCACCTTCCTGCCGGACTGCTGTGTCTCTGTCAACCTAGATCCTCCCTTTCCCTAGGTCTGGGCCACAGATGCAGAAAGCAGGCAGTGGATTCAGGGAGAAGTGATCTAAACCTGGTCTCTGCCTTTGCATACTTTATTAAAAAAATGGGGCTCAGTCACACGTAGTGATGGATACCCACATTCTGGGAGGCTGAGGATTGCAAATCTGAACCAAACCAGAGCAAGTTAGTGAGACTCTGTCTCAAAATAAAAAAGAGGTTCAGCATGAAGGCCCAGGTTCAATCCCCAGGGCAGCAAGCAGAAAAACAGGTGTGGGGGGAGGGGGTTCAAAGGACCTAGGATACAAAATGTTAAAGCTTACTTGGAGTTGTGAGGCTCAAATGAAATAACAAAACGTTTAACTGAGTACCTGGTACAAACACAGTAAACAATAACTGGCTTGCCACTACTGTCAATATTGTTCCATTCCTTATTGGTTCCTTGAATTTTTAGAGCACTTAATTTCTAAAAAACAGCCCATATTATAACCTTGAAAGAGGACTCATGCCATTTATTAACTGTTCCATGTGCTGAGTCTCTTTTCCTCACCTAATTTTAATTTAGTCAGAGGACAGAGGTCACCCACACAATCGCTCGTGTGTCTGGTAATTCATTTTTAAACTGAAAGTCTGAAGACAGGCCTCTCTGACAGGCCCCTCACATTTCTTTCTGGGTCTGACCATTCTCTTTCCTGCTTGTCCCGCCTAACTAGTTGTTATGGACCATGAAAAAGAGGCAGTGTTTGCCGGGCATGGTGGTGCATGCCTATAATCCCAGCACTCAGGAGGCTGAGGCAAGAGAATCACCATGTGTTTGAGGCCAGCCTGGGCTCCATAAGTGAGTTCAAGCCCAGCCTGCACTTCATTGCAGGCTCCTGTCTCAACAAAACAAAACAAAAACAGGCAGTGCTTAAAATGCTCACGAAGAGTTGACCCTCTTTCTAGAATAATCCATTAACCAGAAGAGTTGAGGAAAGGACTGGTAGGAAGCACTTTGCCACTGGGACAGGCAGTAGTAGGTCATCACGGAAACAGAAATCAACACTGCAACAGTAGAATAGCCTCAGGCCTAGGGCTTGAGGGCAGCACCTTGCTAAACAGTTACTACCAACAGCCACCTCCTCTGACCTGGCCCATCTCACCTGTAGGAGCCAGTGGCTACTTTGTCACCATCCACCATCAGAAACCTTGACGACAGAGTCCCCTTGATCTTCCCCATGGGCGTGTAGAAGCCAACACCTGTCGCGGAGCGGACTCGGATGTTCTGTTGAGAAGAGGTGAAAATCGCTGTCACCCTGGTCACAGCTCTGTGCCTGGCTTTGCTGTAGCGGAGGAGTAGCCCTCTCATCAGGACCCCACCCGCCAACTCCTGTCTGGATTCTCTGATTCCGTCAGTCTTACACATAGAACTCCATCTGGCGGGCAGGAAGAAGTCACCAAGTCTTTGAGCATGGACAAGCCCAGAGGGTTTCCTGTCTTTTTCCAAAGTTCCTCAGAAAAGAATCACAGTCCCAAATTTGAATGTGACAGGAAAGTCAGTGATTCTGCAGGCTGAGCACCCCAGGATTGGACTGGAGCTGCAGCAGCCTCGGTGACCTTGGGATAAAAAGTAAGCTTGGCCTGTGGTTTAGCAGTTATCACTTCCTGAGTCATGGCTTTAGATGGAAGAACAGGGGTTGAGATCTCGAACCTATCTTTACCTAAGACCCTGAACTACTGGGGTGGAGGCAAATGGAGAAGGCAAAGGAGGCGGAGGAGGAGGCAAAGGAGGAAGAGGAAGAGGAAAGAGTCTCCATCATCACATCTGCTCACCCCTTACCTCAGTGGTACCACTTACCCGAATCCGGAAGTCAGTGAGCTCCAGGCCCTGGCACATCTCCAGAAAATACTTTACTGCTGCCTCATCCAGAATGATGTACACTGGGACCCTGCGCTTATAGGCAGCATCCACAATGTCTTGGAAAATATCACCATCAGTAAAGAGGTCCATGACCAGAGCAATGACCTGGACAGGGAAGGGTGCAGGTGAGGGATGGATGTTGTGACTGTGCATCTTTGGAGATGCCCTAGCCCCGATAAGACCAGCTGGCTCTGGGGTCACAAACGGGCAAGAATCAAAAACTCCACCTACACTACTGTTGGCTCCTCCAGGTCCTCACTGGTCTCTGAACACATGAGCCCAGGAGAGGGGCCCTAGGGTGGGGGCCCTGCTGCTCATACTTCATCATGGACCACCCCCATACATACTTCCCACGTATATCCCAATAATTCTTCAGAAGCCTCATCAGAGGAGAACTAGGAGGCCAAGAAGAGCTGCTCCTGCCGCCCCAAGGAAACCAGCAGGCGATGCCAATGTGCAACGGATGGGCTCGCTTCCATCAGCTACGGATCTGCTTGAACATTTCTTTCTCAGCAGGCCTGGGCGCTCTGATCTCCCTGCAGCTGTGCAGAGCCCTGCACTTCCCCAAGCACAGATCTGGGCAAAGCTCCAGCTGGCTCGAATGCTACTGGCCTCTGGTGTCTAGCCCTTCCCACCCTGTCCTTAGATCAAGGTCACTGCCTGGGCCCCTTCGCTTGCAAAAGTCAGCCCTGATGCTGCACGCTGGAAAGAGAGGCCTTTTGCAAGCTGGAGAAGATCCACATTTCTCACTGTAGTTGTTTCTAGTTTCCTGCATAAACCACTCTCTGCTCCAGCCTAAACGGTGCTCTCTGTAGCCCTGCACCCAATGCAGGCAAAGGGTCAGAGAAGTCTAGTTGTTTTTATCCCCACCCCTTTTATTTAACAAAACAAAACAAAACAAAACCAAAGTTTCACAGCAAGATAAGAGGAGAGTAACAATGGTTAATACATCGCATATTATTATCTTTATATTGGTTACTCAGAGTACATATCAGCATTTATCTAAGCAATATTAGCACAAACCTTTCTTTTCAATGAACTAAGAGAAATTAGTATAACTATCTTAACTATCTTTCACACACACATATATATTGCTTTTAGAGCTCTGGTTTTAACTACTAACTTCTATTTATGTGACCTTAGGCAAGATCTTGCTCACAGTGAGTGGCTCCCTCATGGCAAAGTGGGGGCACACTGGGAGTCACACGTTTGCTGTGGGTGTTAGACACAATATCTGTAAAGCATGAAATGCAAGGTCTGGTTGTAGTAAGTCTTTAATAAATAGCCGAGCGGGCTCATTTGCAATCACAGGGGAAAGCGTGGGCTCTACAGCCGGGCAAACAGGCCTAGCATATCCACTGCACAGCTGGCTCATCAGCACTCCCTGGGCTGGAAAATGGAGGTAATAATCTAGTAAGGTAAACCTAGGAAAATGCTTGGTACTAGAAAATACTACTCTATGACCCATAGTAAATTCCCTTTCTCTTTCTTTTTTCCTTTATTTGGAGTTAAGGTTTTCCTGCATTGTCCAGACTGAGTGCATGATCCTCCTGCCTCAGCTTTCTGAGTTGTTGGGATTACAGGTATATGCACCAAGGGTAAATGTGATGAGCCTCATCCCCAGCACTCACATTTTCTCATTATTATCATCACCTTCACAAGCACGCCTTATGATATGTCTGCTTCTAAGGTTCCCCACCTGCACCTCCACAGTGTCACTTAAGCTCTTTGCAGGCTTACGCTTATGTTTGCCAGCCAATTATTAATGCAGGTGTGAATGATTACTGGGCCCCACAAGCAGAGTGAGGATCTAAAGACAGATAAGCTGAAATCCCTAACTTTAAGGGGTTAATCCAGGTGGATGAAGAACCAGCTGTGTGTAATAAGTAAGGCGCACAGTAAATGAGATAAATGCCTTAAGGGCTGCACAAGTGACAGGTGATGAAGCGGGAGACAGGCAGCTATTATTTTAGCCGGGGAGAATTAAGAACGGCTTCCTTCACAGTGAAGAATGGGATGCCTTTGGCTGCCACAAGGAAATAGCAGGAAGAAAACCCAACAGAGAAGTTGCTTGGATAATGCACATTGCATGACTTGCACAGGGACACTGGTCTGAGATGGGGCATGGGACTGTGCCTGTCTGATGAAGTGACACTTTTTCTAAGGTGCCTGGGCACCAATGGAGGTGACGTGATGCTTCATTTTAACTCAGTGTCCAGAAGATTGGTCAGATGTTATTCTAGATGTGACCATGAAGGTGTGTTTTGGATGTGGTTAACATTAAAACAGTGAGCTTCTAGGAAAGCAGAGTCCCCCTCTGTAAGGTAGGTGAGTCTCTTGCTGACCCCCCTGAGCAAGGAGGAATTCTGCTAACAGTCTGCCTTTGAACTTGGACTGCAGCTCTTCTGGCTCTGCAGCTGGCCACTCTCCCTGAGACTCTGCAGACTGCATCCCCAGGATCCCACGAGCTTTCTCTCTCAGGCACACCCTTTTGGTTCTGTTCCTGTAAAGAGGCCTGACTATCACAGGCACTGAGGATGGGAATTAATAAATAGGTAGTAAATACTTTCAGGGTACCTTTGACTAAATACTCATGAGCAGCTAAGTACTCATGCACTTATGTGCATTTTCTAATTGACTCTCCCAACTATCCCACAAGGATTTCACAATTGAGGAAGTAAACAGAGAGGGGCAAAGTAACGTGCCTGGAGTCATCGAGCTAGCGCGTGGCAGAGCAAGAAAGTCAGGTACCTCCGACTCCAGTGACTCATTTTCTTGCTTCACAGGGACGAGACTGCTTTAAGGTAGAAACATCGAATCAATGATGCTTTCTTGGAAAACACTAAGCAAGATAGACAAATGTCTAACAAGACCGATAAAAAAGTGAGGAGTAGCAAATAAGATACTGAATGAAAAAGGACAAATATCTGTGGATATAAAAGATTTAAGAAATCATAAAACCAGTGAAAAGAATGTTGTAGTCAATTCTTCATTAATGAATTTGAACACCCAAATAGCATGGATAATATACTACAAAATAACTAAAATAACCAAAATAACTATGATTTTGAGGCCAGTCTTGGCTGCTGCTACCTTAAACTACATAGCAAGACCCTGTCTCAAAAAAACAAAATAAAACAAGTGAAAATTAAAAACAAAACCAAAAGCCTAAATGTTATATACTATCATCAAGTAAGGCTTATCATAGGAACGTAAGGATGATTCAACAACAGAATGTATCTTTTTAATTTATAACATGGAATCAAGAAGAGGAAATCATATATTTGCTTATCACTTAAAAAAATCTCATAAAGCAAAATCCCTAGTTGTGATTAAAATTTTCAGAAAGCCAAGACTAAAAGGGACCTTTCTAAGTTGATGAAGTCTATCTACCAGAAACCCAGATGAAACTTACTTATACAGAAGCCTAACATGGATTTCCTTTAAATATCACACAAGCTCAAGATACAACATGGCATTAGGGATCCTAATCAATGCAATAAAATAAGAAAAAAATGACAATAAGGTTTAGAAGGGTCAAAATCACCATTAGTCATTCATATAGAAAACTCAGTAAGGAAAAAAGAAAAAGAAAAAGAAAAACCAGCTGAATTAAAATAAAACTAGAATTAATAAGAGAACCCAGTAAGATTGCCAGATACATGAAATATTCTAAAAAATCAACGGCCTTCATTCACTCCAACAAAAATGAACTAAAATAAAATAAAATTCATTCACTTTTGCAACTTAAGCACATGGTGCCTAGGAACTACTATCTTTAGGGGAAAATTTTGCAAATCCTATTAAAACACTTAAAAACATGAGTAAATGAAGAGACCAATATGAAAAGATAATATAAAGATTAAAATTTCAATTCTCCTTGTATTAATAACATTCAATGCAATTCCAATAAAAGCTCAATAAATATTTTTGAGTAATTCAAATATTTGTAAGAAAGGAAGAATAATAAAGATAAAGAAGTTACTTCAGTTTTGAAAAAGAAAGTCTAAAGGGGACACTGTCCTATCAGATAGTGTAAGAAATTGTACAGCATAGTAATAAGAATTATAGTACCAAGATTGGAAGAAACTGCCAAATAGACCAAAGGAACAAAAGAACAAAATGTAGGACCTTCACACACACATTCACACACATTCACACACACACACACACACACACACACACACACACACACACACATAGATTTTCATGCAGGCTAAATACCTAAGTGTGAGAGAAATGTGGAAAATATCTTCATGGCACAGGATAGGATTTCTTAAGATTCCAAAAGCACAAACTATAAGGGAAATAAGATAAAATTAACAGGTGCATTTGAAAAATTAGAGGTTTTCTGCTAAATAAAGATGCCATAGACTAAGGTAACCAAAATAAAATAACATACAAAGAATCCCCACAAGTCAAAAACAAAACAAAACAAAAACCCCACAGGAAGCTAATTTAAAAAGTAGGCAAAGCATATTAATAGGTGGCACCAAATATCAGGGGGAAATACCTCAGTGACTAATACATATATGAAAAGCAGATCTTATTAGTGATTTAAAAAATTCAAATTAAAACACACTGATAATCAGGAGTAGTAGTGTATACCTGCAATCCCAGCATTCTGGGAGGCTGAAGCAGACAGACTGTAAATGGCAGCCTAGCATGAAAACCTTAGTGACTTGGGGAGATCCTACCTTGAGGTGAAACACACAAAAGGGCTGGGGATATAGTTCAGTGTGAAAGCCTTAAGTTCAACCCCCAGTGCCATCAGCAAAACTCACATTGATCAGAGGCTTACTACTTTGCAATATGAGATTATCTTCAAATTAGAAAATTGAATAATACTAACTGTTGATGGGTGAGGAAAGGGAAACCCTCCTTTACTTCTGGTAGGAGGAGATGCTGTTACTTGGAACAGCAGCCAGAACTTTCTAGATTTTAAATATGTGCATAACTATAAGCCAGCAAAACCGCTCCTACTCATGTACTCCAGAGAACCGCTTGGTCCTCAGGGAGTAGGACCAAAAGTCACTGTCGCTTTCTCTGGGATGGCAAGGATCGGGCAACTGAAGAGGAAAACGCCAGGCATGTGAGGTATATGA